TGTAAATATTCTATTGATGAGTTAATGAAAGTGTTATTGATCAAAAAAAAAGAACATCAGGAATATCAAAACTATTTACCCTCCAGACAAACCAAAATAAGCTTTTATTTGGGAAACACTCCAGGAAATTCTCTCTCCTCCAGCTTCTTTAATTGCTTGTTCCAATAGAGCACAGGCAGCAATGTGTGCACCAGCTGATTGCCCCATTAGATAAATCCTACAAGAAGAAACATGAACAACAATGTCATATCCAGTGAAAATAAACTGACATGATAAAGAATGAGAAAATTTTTACCTATCAGGGTCACCTCCATATTCAGCAATATTGTTGCATATAAATGAGATCCCTTGAGAAGTATCTTTCACCATGTCACTAATAGTCCCCTGAGGAAAATTCCTAGGCACAAGTATAATGCATGAGAGGTGTGCATATGCCATAATATGGGTAGGTTACTTTTATGCATATGTCTCATTAAGTAACCTTACAAAGTTATTTGCATGGATGCAGAAAATGACAAGGGACAAATACATGCACCAACCACCAAAGAAAATGCAGTGGACGATACATATCCCCATCACTTTTTAATTTCAATGTGTTCATTGAATATGTTAAGAGGTTCTTATACATGGATGCTAACATTTCATGTTGGCTGCATTTGATAGCATGTATAACAAAGGAAAACAAATGATTCCCTTGGAAAATAATCTTCAATAGGAAACAAATCATTTTCCTAAGTCTTCTCATGTTTAGATGAGAAACATACGAGCGTACAAAAAGGTACATATGTACAACATTCCTTTTAGAGAGATGGAAACTGCTACCTCTGCTCTTTTTCAGTTATAATTGCACCCAAAACATTTGTTCTCTCCCCACCCCTTGCTTCTGCATGCTGTTAGCAACCCTCTTTACCCAGCTAATTCTCACTTCAATGTCTTGAGTCAGCCACTTGAATTTTTTAATTCATTACTATATTGCCATAATGCAGCCTCTCTAAGCTGCAGACATCCTGTTACCAACCTTGAATCACCCTCAATGACTATCTTCTTAAAATTCATATTCCTTGCACATTGCACACCTTCCATAACAGCCATAATGAAGATATTAACGTTAATTTAATAAAAAGTATAATTTGCATGTTCTTTTTGACAAGAAGCAGTGGCCCTTATGAACGAAAGGCCCCAGATGCTCCCCATCTACATTCTGGAGTAAAAAGCCATGTTGAGAATGGAGATTGCAGCTAGTTGGCCACACCATCCACAAACTGATCATTTTGAGATACATTAAACAATATAGGATACATTATAAAATATGGCCAGGAGATGGCAGAATAAAGACTAGGATGGAAAACTGTTAATACTTTTGGTGTTTTGGGATAATGGCACACTTACAGAGAAAACCAACTCAGACAGATTTTTTTCATGCTCTCCATTATATTTCTATAGATGGTATTTTTATTAGCTTCAGTTTCACTTGGACCTTTGCTACTATATGGGCCAATAAGCCGTCTTTCCAATTTAGATGCTTCATCCAAAACAGGGTAACATGCATTTCAACTAATAGCTTCAATTAGGATATATTACCTGTAATCTATACATGCCACTATAATGTCTCTTTCTGCTAACTGCTTTCCTAAAAGAGAGCCCCATGCTTTGTACCTGCATCAATAAAAACAGTGCAACAACTTAATGATGGAAAACGAACAACTTGAGATGATGCAAAATAATGTTACAGGACCAGCAAAGACAGAGACATATACGAATTCATTTTTGTCTCACAACAATCAAGTTTTCTCTATTAACTCTTTCAAATTAATACAAACCCCCTTGAAAATTTGTTCACTCCAAACAAATCCGCCCAGTCATGGCCCCTCTCTCTTTCTCTCCCTCTCCCCTCCAACCATGATCTTTAGTAGCACCTCAATCTCAAGTCATCAGTCAACAACATCCTTCCATGCTTCCCTCAACTCCTTTTTTTTCCTACTAAACCCTAAGGCACTACCTGAAGATGATGTTTTTTCCTCATTTTCGAATCATCTATCACAGATGCATCTGTCAGCTCAATTTTAGCTATCAGAACCATCGAAAGGCCTTACTCCCTATTGGTCTATTGCTCCACATGTAGTAAATGGGAAATATGGCTTCTTAGTTTCTAAATTATACATAAGAATGTTTACAAATTTGGGAACATGAATGTTTCTCTCCTACCTGATATGGAATTTATACTACCCGATACAGCATTTATGTACTTCATGTCTGATGTTATATTTTTACACTTCCATCTTATGATTGAGCTAAAATTTCAAAAGAAAAGAAAAAATATATATATAAAGAAAGCTCTTTTGCATGAAATAAATCTTCAAATTACGTAATGCTTTCAACCATGCTACTAAAGCTTTTAAATATTTAAAATGAAAATAAGCTTCGAAAGAAAGAAGTAAACATAAATTAAAAGTCTAAACGACTAGTATATCCTTCCAAGTAATTATACTTTTCACTTATGTCCTATCTTCTTGTAAAAAGTCAATCAATCAATTACAAAGTACATATAATTGCTTATGTATATTTATAGACATGTTAGCACAAGCTTAAGTGATGCTCCAAAACTTTGGAGTTTTCAACTTTAGCACTGTAATGACTCAATTCTACTTTACACTGGAACTCCATCCCATTGTTTTGTTTTTAAGTTCTAAATACTACCTTCATAATCATTAATCCAACCACCACCATCACCACCACCACCCAGAAAAAAAAAAAAAAAAAGAATCTATATGCTTAAAACAATCACTAGTTAATTGCTCACCCAATAATCCAGGCTCCACCTGTAACAAATGCTACAACTGGCTTTGGCCGATTTGTATTTTTGGGTAAATATAGATCAAGCCTGCCAAAAGAACAACCCCATAAGCTATACACTACAGCACTCTAAGAAACAAAAAGACATGCAAGTAATTGCATCTGATGAATGTCAACAAATGGCTACAGAGAAAGGAAACTATACCTATTTCTTGGTTGATCTCCATAAACTATACTCCTGCGAACCTGACTTGAGAAGAAATAGTAATATCCAACTGTGAATGTCTAAGCAGGTTAGTTATGCCACAAAAAGTAAAAAAAGAAAAAAAGAAAGGCAATAATTATGGCCTATACAAGATCTAATATTCATCAGAGAAATAAATGTAATGATCAGTCATAAATATTAGAAAAGTTGGTGTGAGCAATCACTAATGCATCAAAAACATTTTGGGCAATTGAGCCTCCCAAAAACACACCTTGAATAAAACCCGGCATAAGCAGCATAGCATAACAACTAAGGGCAAGAAATCTTGTGATCCACCTGTAGCCTACCCTGAATAAAAACAAATGATCAGAAAATCTATCAAACAACAATTACAAATCACAGATCTGAAATATCAGTTATGGGAACTACTTATCTAATGTCAACAAAAAAGAATAGTATACTTCATGATTTAATTGTTTTAAGAAATTCAACTACAGAAGTCAATCTGTTATCCTGCTTTGGATACAGCTTAGGGACAGCCCTAGCCAATTTAGCTGCCATAATCATATGATAATCTTACTTGAATACTAATAAAAACCATAAAAAAAAAAATTGTCTTTTGTACTATCAATATGACAAACATGACTATATCATTATGTGTTAAATTCGTTCCTTCTCTAAAGAATAAGCATCTCCAAAAGCAATGCAAGTGGGAACTTCTGCAGTTAACACAAGTACTTGTTCTTGTATCTTTTTCCTTGGAAATTGTAGCTTCCTAGGTAAATAACTAAATGATACATTGAGGCCAGGCAGATTTAGTGGTGGTCCCATATGATGAGCAGATAAAAGCATAAAAGGCTAACACAAGGTTTTTGATAGTATTAAGAAACTCCTATCAATCAACAAGACAAAGTTAAGTCACAGGAACTGAGACTTTTGTTCAATCATCAAATACAAATTATAAATCTTCCTTCCTAGGGCCATAAGTCCCAAGTCACTTGTCAGAGAACATGAAAAAGAAACAGATTGCAACAGGAGCTGCAGGTTGGCATTTTTTTTTTTTTTGTGGATCAGCAACACAACCACAGAGTCCAAAGAAAACTCAGGTGAAGGTGATTGAGGAGAAACACCAATTGAGATCCCACTGACCCCCTTCAATTGTTTTTAGGATATCCCTGTAATATTCTTCATGACCTTAGCAACCAAGCATCATATTTCTTGGACAGTCGTACATGGGCATTGGGTTCGTGGCAGAAAAAATGAGCTAAGTGGATCACCAGATTTTCTTACATTAGGAGTCAATACTTCCCAAATAGATATTACCCACACATATATCTCAGAAACGTCTGCCATGAACAACTTGCTAAAAGATGAGGAGGAAGTCGTGTTAACCAACGATTAACAATCTTCCACAGGCAAGTGGCACATCAACAGCCATCATAAAAGTCACCAGTTCTCAGCACATACGAGCTGCCCAATGACCATTTTTTGTTTTAAAATATCAAGTACTCTCTTTCCCCAGACCTATGTAAGCCTTGCATAAGGTTAGGTCAAGACAACTAAAAAATTCCTATTAGGTTGTCACTGGAACCCCATGGGTTCAAATAATTTGTACCGGAGCTGAGCCATGCCAGCCACTGTGATCAACACCGACATATACAGGCATAAGTTTACTGTAGAAGAACTTAGGAAGGGAGACTCTATAGCCGCAAGCATTTCCACCACGGAACTTCCAACATTGTTTCGATAAGTTGTCTTCTAGAGCCCTTTGAATCTAGTAGCAAAAAGAAAATGCAAATAAAATTGCAAGTGCCTCAAATTGCAAACCAGAAGATATTTGTTGCATTAATATTACAATAAAATCAGTTTGTCGTACACAAATTTCTCCATCAAACTCCAGACTGTTGTACCCACGTATTTCATCAATGCTGTCAAGTCTAAACACTCGATGCAAGTTTTCTAAAACTGAGAATCCTTGAATCGTTGAATCAACAGGAAGGTGTAAAACAGTTATCTAGATTCAAGCCAAGTGGAAGAAGTATAATCACAAGCCCATTTATAATTTTGATTTGCCTACTCTAATTGTAAATCAATTGCCTGTTCACTCTCCTTCAATGAGAACCATTTCTCCAATCAATCAAAACCATTAAAGCAGAGCATTTGGCAACATACCATATGCCAATCCAAACATAAATTCTATCAGATCGAGGAATCGAACCACCGATATTGGAGGTTAGCATTCAAAGAAAAAAGCCAACAGAGAAAGAAGAAAGAACAAGAGAGCGAAAGAAAACAGAGGAACAGGGGAAGGAAGGCGGTAGTACCCCAGATAACGCAAGAGAATGAAAGTAAGGCGAGTAAGCAAAAATGTCTCGGAAGCGGCGTGGGTGACGTCGTCTCTAAAAGAGTGTTGTCGCCTGGTTGTTGAAAGAGAAGGAAGAGAAGTGTCGCTTCCAACTCTCCGCCTCCTTTGCTGCTGTTGGTGTAGTTGGTTAACGGTGCCGTTAGTTGTATAACTAGAATTCCGAAAAAGAAAGGGTCTCTTTTCAACATTCTTCTCATCTTCAAATGACGAAGAAGAGAGGAAGGAAAGACGTCTTTGATCTTCCTCCCCTCTTAACACCATGGTTGCCGTCGTGGCCGTCGCCGCGGGCATCGTTACAGAAACTAACGAAGAAGAGGAAGAGGAGGAGGAAGAAGAAGATATAGGAAGGATCTGAGGTTGCATATGGAGATGGATGAAATAGGCGCGGATATGGGTTAGAGGAGTACGCAGAGATCGATGCGAGCATGAATGAGCTGTCCTGTTGTTTTTTTTCTTTTTTTGAGTAGGAGAGCTGTTCTGTTGATTGATGAAAAAGTGAAAAAAAACCAGCGAGAATTCTCTGGCTTCTTTTTGTATTACTATGTGGTGTTGCTTGCTGATTTGCTTTGCTTTGCTTTGCTTGTTTTTATTTTATTTTCATTTTGGGAGGTTTGTTTTGCCTGTTAATTATTTTATTTTCTTTTTTCCTATTTTTTCCTTGTTTTGTGGGTCTTATTATTATACAAAAGGAGCACGTCTCTTCTCATCATTTTCGTGCACTTGATGGCTATGTTAAGTGCTGTTTAACCAATAACAAGGTTTAACATAAGTACAAAACTTATCATCAATTTTTCTCTCGATTCGCGTAGATGAATGACGTGGGACGTTATTATTGGTTCAACGGTTAGCAATTGCAGCGATGGATTGCAGGGTCTTGTAATTATGCCAAAGCGATTTATGAGAGAGAAAATATATCTAAAAAAGGGAATTTTATGTGACAGAGAAAGTAAAAGAATGATTTGATTGGATTTGGAAGTGGGACATGAAGGTGACCTATCGGCTAGTGGTGCAGCGCCACACAGAATCATGGATCGGTGGTTTCAGGCTTTCAGCTTTTCCTTTTTATTATGTTCTGGTCCATTCGCTAAAATTGGGGATCTGCTCCATACACAACGCGCCTCACATCGACCTCATATCCATATCTCACTCTCTGCGCATTGAGCAGGGGAGCATTATTCGGTTAAAACCGAAATATCAAATTAAAAATTTTAATTTCGGTTTTTTCAGTTTTTGGATAATTTGATTTTTAGGAAATTAGGTTTTCGGTTTCAGTTTTCAAAGTTAGAAATTTAATTAATCAAAAAAACTGAATTAATTAAAATTTATTATATAACATTTAATATATAATATGCTATATATTTATATAATATATTATATAGTGTATTATAATGAAACTTAATTTCATAATATATATATATATATTATAGGTTATAATATAATATTTTTTATATATATTAATTAAATTCGGTTTTTAACTAAAACAATCGAAAACCAAACTGAAATGTTTGATTTCGGTTTTCTTGTAATCTGGTTTTAGTTTTTATTTTTTTATTTCGGTTTTTAAAATTTCAATATATTCTATTCGGTTTTTAATTGGAAACATCTCTATAAATAATAAATACAAGTAAAGAAGATATTTCCAATATACAGTCGGGACAAACTGTAAAGTCAGAATGAGGCATGCTCTCAGAGGATCAGATCCGAACTCTTCATTGAAATCCTTTTGCTTCATTTTAAATTCAACTTTCATACGCAAGATTTGTTCCCGTTTCAATAATTTTTACAATATACTTATGTATTTTATTTCATGGGGAGATATTAATACAAAGCCATAAAAGGAGGCCTTGAACTGACTGAGTCATAGAAAAATATTTCTAATACAAAATGTGGGCACAGGTTTGCCCTGATGAAAGCCGATATCGTCGGTTTTGGCGAACGCCCAAACCCAATGAGAAGGCACATGGATGCATGTGCAAGCCCTAAACGCCATTCTGTACACACCAATAGAGTAACACCACTGGACTGGAACAGAAGGGAGCTACCCTATGATTCTGAATTCTGATATCATCATTATATATAACTATAATATCCCGTAGGACCCACCCCCGCCTTCGGCCAATAGTTAAGCAATTGTCTTTTCCCTTTTTTTATTTATAAGGTACCAAGGAACAAAACATGTTTTCCATGGGCCCAGCTGTACCAGATAAATTGCAGCTGCTGCTTGCCTGCTCCGGCATCCAAAAATCAAAACAAGAGAAGATGCATTGCAGAATCCCCTGATTTACAATTGTTTGCTTGGTCAGTGGTCACGTAGGTAGAACGCGAAGGTAGTAGAAGTTAGAAGGGCCCACCCAGCACCCACAGTGGAGGGACAAACATCATGTTCGAATCTAGTGCACCAATTATAACATGACACATCGTCAGTTTGATAAACAGAGCCCACATTTGATGGAATGGAGCTCACGCAGGACGCAGTGTTTTCTGATTTATGATTGGCCCGACCCGACGTTACGCGTAGAACCGTGGACGCACACCCTTCGAACATGGCTTGACACTACGGATTTCATATGAGACTGGGGGCCGGCCGGACCAGCCAGGCATGAAATGTGAGCCCAAATCAGCCTCCCATAAGATTGCCCCCCTGCAATGTTTCGCAGCATATTTTCGTTGTGTATTGGGTGACAATATGACGATTTTATTATTAGGAGATATTTTCAATATGCTGCCGAAATATGCTGTGACACGTTGTGGGTGAGATTTTATTGAAACGTATTTTGTCGGGCCGGATTATTTCAACCCAATTTGCAAATGTATCTGCCGACCAGTTGATACCCGTTGCAATTAAAGTGGAGCGGGTCCGTGTCAAGAGGAGTAAATATTATCAATTCACGGGGATGCTGCTTATGGGGGGAGGGATAAATACGTTTGGAAGACTGTAAAGCGGCGTTGATTCAAAACCCTTGGCAATACAAACTATGGTTATCAAATTTTTATAAAGGGTAGTCTCAAGTCTCAACAATGTACATGAATTTTAGCCTATCAGAGATATTAGACAAAGATTCATCAGTTCCATATGTTTTCATTTTTATATTATATAATAGAAAGCCATCAACTACACATTTTACTATTCTAGTCTTAAAAAATAAGTTATATATTAGAGTGAATCTTCTAAGTAAGAATCAAATATTTTAATCTACAATTTGAAGATGATTGTCTTATTTTTTTTCCTTATTTCTTCAAATTTATCATCAAATAAAATAGAACTTAAAGAAAAATATGCTCTAGCTTCATGGTAGAATATTAATTTCAACAAATCAACTTTATTAGGAAATGCGTCAAACAAATTAAAAAAAAAAAAAGTCATTAGCAACGAACTTGGGCATCCCCATAATGGATAGACAATATAAATTCGTATCTAATAGCTCCTTTTTTGGAATGGAAAAATAACAAAAAAGACATTCGACCAATGTGTGGATAGAATAAAACAAAGACTTGGTGGAAAGTTGAGACTCTTTTCATAGTAGGAACTAGGAAGGTTCACTCTTATTAAATCAGCGCAATTCTCGTTCATGCCGTCCCCCAATTCCTTGTGGGTTATTTTGACTTCTCAAAAAAAAAGAATCTTGATGAGATGATAAAAATTTAAAGAAATTTATTATTGGGCTGCAATCAAGAGAAAATTCCTTTTGCCCTAACAAGCTACAAGAAAATTCGCAAACTTGCCTCAAATGTCAAAAAGAGGTTTGAGCATTATGAGAGAGTTAAAAAAGATACTAATAATGCATGCCAATGTTTTCAAAATCGGATCGGAAAAACTGGGAACCGGTCGTTTGAACTGGTTCCCATTTGACCCCATAACTGTTTTTTGGCCAAGAACTATTGGTTGGTCAGCAAACTGCTGATCCAGGTGTTTGAACCGTTCAATAGTTTTTGGCCATTTTTACTTTTTTTCATTTTTTTTACTTTTTTTTCGAATGAGCCATCCGTTTGGTTCGAATAGTCAGATTGTTCAACCCAGGAACCAGATCCCTGAATGATTCATTGTCTGATTCAGTTTTAAAAACCTTGATACATGCATATTAGTAAGTTGGGTTGAAGGGTTGTGCACTTTCTAAATAATATATAGGTAAACATATATCTAAAGAGTGCAACATTACCCAGCAAATTTGGATGCTAATTGAAGATAATTATCATAGACCCAATAGAGAGGACAGATCAATTAAAGGTTGTAGCAATAACGAAAGAAAAATAATGAAAAGTTTGTCTTCTTACCCTAGGCCCAATTAGGGGAGAGCTAATGGGTTGGTTCTGCCAAGAACTGATTGAGCCGACCTCAAATTGCCTTAGTGTTTAGGTAGGGTCTAGTTCCAAACTCTTACAACCAACTGGAAGAGTCAGCCTTAACTATATTGTGGAATGTATGTGAAGTTGTATTAATTATGGATTAGTAATGATTATAATATTATATGATATTGTGTAGGTTGTTTATGGATTATGTTTTATTTCCTTTGGGGTGAATGACTATATATGTGAATTTAAAATGTAGATCATTTATGATAGATTGTTATCCAAATGAAGTCAAAGATTCAAAAGAAAAAAAAAGCATATTATTTTTTTAAAGAATAGGGTCCATGGAATTGACCTTGGAACCAATCTTGATAAAGTAGGTTATGGTTCCAAAAACTTCAAATTGGGTTGGCTCCAGGTTCTACCTTGGAATTGAACCAAATTGACACATGAACAACCTTAGGGTTAATAAATCAATAGAAATCAAATGACATTCAACAAATACTTCCTAATTAAATGACAAGTAGGGTGTAAATGGATTCAGTTCGAATCAAATCATGCAATATCCGAATTCAAATTCAAGTTCAATTAAAAATTTTAATATCCGATTCTAGTCGAATTCGACCAATTTAATTATTTTAGGTAATTAATAAATATATAAAAATATTTTATTTATATAAAGTATATAAAATATTTATATAATTATATATATATTATATAAAATATTTAAGTCTTTTATATATTATATATAAGAATTAAATAATCGGTCGAATTCAGATATTTATCAAACCGAATCAGGTCATATCCAATTCAAATCTGATTAACTAACCGGTATAAATAGGATATTTGAATTTGACCGAATAGATATTCAAAATATTTGAATTTGATTCAATTATGTCGAATCTCAAATTTGAAACCGAATTTTCAAATACCGTTGACATTCCTAATGACAAACATCTTAGAGAAAGTTTCAAGATGGTATTATGAATTTATTGACTTTAATGGACCAAACCCTTTACTTTGGGAGAAGGTATAATAACTTCATATAGATCAGCATTGCAGAAATTGCAACGAGGATCATGATAATATAAAGGTAATCACCATATTACTTGTGATGAGCGTTAAGCTTGTTAGCAAATTTGTTGAGTAAACATGATTGTAGACCTCATGCATTGTCCACAAGTGTTTGTTCAAAGCTTCAGTGAGCAGAGTTTGTCTCATACTCAGCTAGTCAGCTGCAATGAGCGGCAATGACT